CCGGTGGAGGGCTACGTGTCTGCCTGGAACAACAGCAGTGTCCCCTTATCGCAGCCCCGATGGCCCCAGGGCAAAGCCGGACCTCCCTTCCTCCCTCCTCTGTAGGAAACAGCGACCGGGGTGGGGGGGTGAAAGTCCACGCAAAGTGGCTGTCCCTTGTACTTTACTTTGCCGCTTGGAGCTTGGCCAGAGTTGCCCCACTCCGTCCCCAGGCAGTTGGCCAATCCCAGGCCACGGGGGGGGGGAGATGTGAACCCTCACCCACCGCAGTCCTGGAGTGCAAGGGTCAGGGCGGTGCACAAACAATGTCCTGGTGTGCTTCTCCTACGAGTGGGCGCCGGGGAAGGGTTGCATGCGCTTACACAGCAAAACCGCGGCCCCGCATCTGAATCTGTCGCTGATATTCTTTAAGCACAGGGTGGACTTCTTTACCCAGAGAGTGATGAGGGTGTAGTGATGGCCACAGTCATTTGTTGTTGTTGTTCAGTCGCGCAGTCGAGTCCGACTCTTCGCGACCCCACGGGCCAGATCACGCCAGGCCTTCCGGTCTTCCGCCGTCCTCTGAAGTTGGCTCAACTTCATGTTCGCTGCATCTATGACACTGTCTAACCATCTCATCCTTTGCCGTCCCCGTCTTCTTTGCCACAGGAATAAACAGCTTTAAAGGCGGATGAGATAGATTCATGGCGGAGAGATAGGTCCATCAGTGGCTACTCAAGGGAACCTCCACATTCGGTTAAGCCTCTGAAGCCAGAGCCAGGCGGCAGCATCCAGGGAAAGGCCTCGGCGCCTCTGCCCTGTTGTTGGCCCTCCAGAGGAACTGGGTGGCCACTGTGTGAGATGGGATGCTGGACTAGATGGACCCCTGGTCTGACCCGGCAGGGCTCTTCTGATGTTCTTTTCAGAGGAAGGCCTCGGTCTCTCTGCCCTCTTGTTGGTCCTCCAGAGGAACTGGTTGGCCGCCATGTGAGACAGGATGCTGGACTAGATGGACCCTCATTGGTCTGATCCAGCAGGGCTCTTCTGATATTCTCATCGGGGAAGGCCTCGGCCTCTCTGCCCGCTGTTGGACCTCCAGAGGAACTGGCTGGCCACTGTGTGAGACAGGAGGCTGGACTAGATGGACCCTCCCTGGTCTGATCCAACAGGGCCCTTCCGATGTTCATATCAGGGAAAGGCCTCGGCCTCTCTGCCCTGCTGTTGGACCTCCAGAGGAACTGGCTGGCCACTGGGTAAGACAGGATGCTGGACTAGATGGATCAGTGGTCTGATTCAGCAGGGCTCTTCTAGTGTTCTTATCAGGGGAAGGCCTCGACCTCTGCCCTGCTGTTGGCCCTCCAGAGGAATTGGTTGGCTGTTGTGTGAGACAGGATGCTGGCAGGGTTCCCAAGTCCGTCTTACTCCGTGGCGGGGGGCTCCCAGACGGCGTCTTGAGCGTGCGTTTTCCCCTCAGATGGCTGTGGCCCCGCCCCCAGTGTGCCTGGTGTCATCACGTCACCTCCGGCTGACGTGCACGCGCGGTGGAGTTCCCCCCGGAGCCCGATTTCGCGGCGGTGGAAATTGGGCCTCCAAAGCGGGGGATTATCCGCCCCCCCGGGGGGATTTGGCAGCCCTAGATGCTGGACTAGATGGACCCTCGCTGGTGTGATCCAGCAGGGCTCTTCTGATGTTCTTATGGACATTGGGGTGCAGTGTTTCCCTCAGCCTTGACTGCGGAGGTACCCTTGCAGGAGCTGACGTGCCCATACGTGCACAAGCGTGAGTGCTACATGCTTTGCTGTGCAGGTTCCCATCCCTTGTTGTGCATGCAGCTGACTTAAAAAACACACCTTGAGAGTCATCAGTCATCAGAAGTTGTGGGTGCTTTTATATGGGCAGTGTGGCAAGCCATATAGTTTCAACCCTGGTGTGTGGTTCATTCCCTCTGGAGATAAGCTCCATCTCCCTCACAGTCTTTGTGGTCTCAGGAGGTTCCTGTCTCTTCAGTTTTACCTTCGCTTAGGAGGACCATGGTTTGGATGTTGCTCATCCAGGCATATGGCTTTGGCACATGCTATACATGAATAGCCATGGGCGAAGGCATATCTTGGGAAAGAGACACTGATGCTTGTGCCAGACTCAGGGTGTGTGCGTGTTAAACGTGGTGTCTGAAGGCTTCTGTTTTCCTGAACCGGCTCATGGGAAATGTGTGCGCTTCTGCATGGGCATAGGAGTTCATGATTTATTTGTTTTTTCAAAGGTTCCCAGTATTGTCCTGGGGGGGGGGGGCTCTGCAACTTATCTGGCTGCTTCTTGCTCCTCGTGGCCCAACTGAGGGCTGCTGGGAGCAGGGGGTGAGGCTTGTTGCATGTGCCCGCCCCCTGAGCTCCTTACTGCCAGAGCTCCGCTCCTGTGTGCTCCTGCAGGAAATGACCCCTGCCTGGAGTGCCCAAAAGTCATGCTCTTGATTTATGCTCAGAGAGACATAAGCAACTTTGCACACTTGTGCATGTTCTTCTAGAATGCGGTTGTCAACATTTCCCTGGGGCCATGTGTGCTCAGAGAAGAGTATTTCTGCATTCGCATTTTTATGCATTTTATTACTTTGCAAGGTGTGTGCAGTTCTTGCTTACACCCAGGATTGAACTTTGTTGCTCTTGGAGGGGCCACTGGACTCAAACTTAGTTCTCACATCTGTTTGTTAACTCTTGTGTCTGTGTGCTAATATGCTGCTGTTCACAGATCATGCCAACTGTTTTAATCCAATCTCAGCTATACTTAGCCAGTTTGGTGTCGTGGTGAAGTGCGTGGACTCTAATCTGGGAGAACCGGGTTTGATTCCCCACTCCTCCACTTGCACCTGCTGGATGACCTTGGGCAAGCCATAGTTCTGTCCAGGGGTCATTTCGTAGAAAAAGAGGTGCAGGAGCTCATTAGCATAATTTATTAGCATAACTTATTTGCATATGCCACACCCCCTGACATCACCGGAAGTGTGTCTGAAGGCAACACCCACCGCTCAGGCTCCACTGGACTGTTTTGGTTTGCTAGCTATTGGGGGTTGGGGAACGTGCAGATCTGCCCTCACAGAGGAGGGAGAGCTTGTACCTGAAGGTGG